TGAGGGCAAGTGTGTCATCATTGCCAGACAGACAGCAACACCCAGAGAGCTGCTCTCCTTCAGCAGACACTGCACCTGCTCCTGTGCTCATTAGAGCTGTGCAGCCCTGAGAAAACACGAGCCATTCCAGTGCCTGTGAAATCAAACATTCCCACTGCTCTGTCTCACACATTGGCCACAGACACCACATATACTCCTTTCAAGAAACATTAGCAAATTCAGCTGTTAGTGTGTTCAGAGCAGAATTGTTGCTTTGAATCTCTGCTTCCACACTCAGATCTCTCTAAGCAGAACCCAAACACACAGAGAAGTCAAACCTGCTCCCTGCAGGAAGAGCCAGGGATGAGGAATAGTGACCACCAGGTTACACAGCCTCAATGACCTCAAATACCAGGCTGAAAACAGCAACTTAGCAATAACTATGATTTATGAGGTCGTTCCTTCACAATTCCCAGGGTGGCCACCACAGGTATCCATGAAATGGTGTCTTTTAGGGATGAGGGTGAGAAGCTGCTCATCTCCAAGTGTGTTGGTCCAGAAGGGAAGAGACACTGCACCTGAGGCACTTGGGTTAAATGCAGAGGGGGTTAAATCCAGCTGCAGGTGCTCCCTGAAGTCCATCCTGGAGGGTGTCTGCATGCACCACACCTGCTCCCAGCTCTGAGTTGGGACACAGCTCAGTACCAAGGGGATGAGGCCTCCGAGACAGTCGAGGTTGGGAATCTCAGTGCAGACACCCCCAAACACACTCCACATGCAGGGTTAGAGCAGTGAGCTTTTCCTGTAGGATCATCCCATATCCACTTCCCTACGAAGAACAGACACTTTTCTACCTGTCACACAGCACCTCAGGGGGAAATCATCTCCCAATTGCTTTCAGAAAAGCCAAGATTTGAGGGGTTTGAGTGACATCTTTCTCAAGTGATGGAAGGCAATTTCCCAGCAGTTCTCAAAGACAGCAGGATCCTCCCCATGGTTTCAATTCATAAGAGAGGTTTTTTTCCTAGGAGGTCTTTCCGTCTGCATTCAAATTTGCTCTTTAAAATGCTATTATTGTTGGGAAGAAAAAGAGCATTATCACAGAGCTGACAAGTCTTACAATCAGGAAAAAGCTGTCAAAATGGCAGAACCTTAATAGACAAATTCTCTGCCATAACACACACAAAAGTTTCTTCTCTGCTGTAAGAGTAACTGTGAGCAATAAAGCACCAACAGCTCTAAATGCATTTCTTCCATCTCATAAGCTTCTCTAAGTCCTCCCAATTTAACACTCCCATACACATCAGGGAGATCATTTTGGCTTTATATGCAACTCTAAACGTTTAAATTGTCCCAAGTCTTTCCAGTGCTGCTCTTGGTCACCACAGTCTCAAGACTGCTCAAGGCTGGTCAGAAAAGATGATTTTCCTAAAACAAACATCTATGAGAGGTTTGTTATCTTGTAATTTCTGTGATCCAAACCCTGATGAGAGCGTTAGAGTAACTCTCATATCCCAGTGATGTAGCCCTATAAATCCATCACGGTGTATTACACATTGCTTTGTTTTGCTTTTAAGAGCCATAAAAGTTTAACCATTATTCAAGCAGAGACTCTGATGTCAAGTTTCAGGATGCTTTGGTTACCCTGAGCTATGTTATTTCCCAGTTCAATCAGATATTCAGGCAGCTGCAGCTCCAGCACTGCTGAGAAAAGGGATAAAAAAAGTGGTGGCCAACACACTTGGTGTTTCCTAGAAAACTGGCACAGCTCCATGTGAGCTTTCTATGAAATCAAGATGCTGACCTGCTGCTCCACTGCACTTCATTGTGTGACTTAGAAATGAGCTTGAGAAGCACTGAGGTGATGCAAAAAGGCCAAGCACAAAGCTCTTCGTACAGGAAGCATTCACAAATGCAGAACTGGGACTGCCTGTGCTCTGGGAGCTCCTCCCTGCTAAGGCCTGACTGAACTTCCTACTTGTGTTTGCCAACAGGAGTTCAGCTCATTCATTCACCACTACATTCATCATCACATGATGGTTTATCAAGTCCTGGACTATCAGAAATATCCTTGTACTCTAGCTCTTGGCTCTCTTCCATGTAATCACAGCGTCACTTGTTTGCCAACAACATGTTGTTACCTACACTTAATCTCTCTGTGTCATTACACAATCCACACACAAAACTCACAAGCAGCCAAGTACAAAACCCACATCTACAAATTATAATCTTAGCTCTTTACATCCATCCATCAGATCCATTAAAAACACCATCCAAGTGGGTAAGGGTTGCTGAAATCCCATTTCAGAGCTTGCCCTGATATTGACCTCAAAGCTTAAAAGCTCAGTAGAGTTACATAAGGGTTGGTTAACAGGCTGAAAAGTCCCCATCCCATCCCATCCTGCTGCATCCATGTTTTATGGGTTTGAGGTGGGACAAGCTACCCCACAGCAGGAAAGGTTTGCAGTGAGTCTATGAGCTGTAAGTGGAGTGTGGCAGCAGCATTGGTGGGAAAGGTTTGCAGTGAGTCTATGAGTTGTAAGTGGAGTGTGGCAGCAGCATTGTAGTCTGCATGAAAATCCCTACTCTGAGCTAAGCAGGTTTGACTGGCAGCATTGAAGGCTTCTCCTCTCCCCTTGCTTGAGGAAAGCAAGACATGGTTCTAAAAGCACCTTCTTTCTTTGTCCTCAGTGTTCAGGCAAGAACTTCATGGCATACCCAGCACAAGTTCAATGTACCACATGTTCCTCACATTGCCTGATAAGCTGTTACACTGAGCTGTCACCTCAAGATACAACAATTTGGGCTCTGACAGTTGGAAACTGGTAACATGAACGTTTGGAGGAAGATCTTGCATGAAGACAAGAGGCTTCATCTTCACTTGCCATCTGGAAAAGTGCATGTGCAGAACATGAGTCTCACAGCAGATCCACAGGAGGGTTAGGGCCTAGAGAGCCTGAAAGGTGCAAATTCCTAACAGGCATCTGCAAAGGGGAAGATCTCATTGCATGACAGCAAATCGAGCTGAACAGCAATTAGACACAACTTTCCTGGCAGGGAAACACATCCTCCATCTTTCCAGCCTTTAATAAGTGTATTTCCAAAGGGATTTCTTACTACTGTCAGGCACCAAAACACCTCAAACATAGAGCATCATTCATGTCTGCAAGTGGTTTATCTCAATTTCATAGCATGTTAAGGGGTTGGAATGAAGCTAAGAGATCATCCAGCCCCAACCCCCTGCCCTGGGCAGGGACACCTCCCACCAGAGCAGGTTGCTCAAGGCTTTAGCCAAGCTGGCTGTGAACACTGCCAGGGTTGGGGCAGCCCTGGGCAACCTGTGCTCACCACCCTCACAGGGAAAACTTCTGCCTAAGATCTAATCTCAATTTCCCTCTTGCAATTTCTCCCATGATACCATTTCAGCTTAGCTCTGGTTGTTTCTCCTCAGCAGAGCCAAAGCCACAACAAGTGCTAGACATAAATGACCACATTTAATCCACAGAAAAAAAATATTAGTGTTTCCATGGCAAAATCTGTTCCTACTCACTCTACACAACTGCATCAATTAGCTCCACAGAAATGACAGTGCAGTGATGGTTAATCCTCACAAGGACAGAGTCAGAGGGGGGTCAGGAGGACACAGACAAGTGGAAGTGTCTCACCTAACGTGGCAGCAGCAGCGAGTCCTGCGGCGTACGGATCCGTTCCCGGGGGAGCAGCACTGATGATGTATGGATTGGGGACAAAGGCAGCAGGGGCTAAACCTGCTGAAAACATACCTGTCAGTGAAAACAAACTGAAATAGGACTGAAGCCCTACCAGAACACCTCTGGCTACCTGATGGTGAACATCATAGGTGGCTTTAGGGTTTTGAAGCAGTTTACAGGTGGTTTTCTATAGGCAGTGAACGACCATTGAGGCTTAACAGGCAGAGGGAGAGAGGTTACCTAAAAGAAACCCAATTCCAAGGATGGAATGGCCCTTAAGGAAAGCTGCAGAGGTGAAATCTTGATATACAACAGCTCAGGTACCTCTGCAGGGCAGACCTACTCATTCTGTTCAGCTAACATAGTAACATGAGCCAACATGTTAATATAGTAACATGAGCTAATTGCTGTTACTCCTCTGGATTTCCTGGAGTGAGTAGATCAGGACCCAAACTACCCTAATTCTGAGTTCCATGCCCACTACACAATAGCAGTACTGCAACTGGTTAGTTTGGGAGGAGCTCTGGAGTGTGCAGACATTACCTTCCTCTGCAAGGAAACAGTTCAATCATTAGAGAAATCACAGCTGGTGGGAGAGGAGTGGGAAGGGGAGGGGAAGGGGAGGAAGTGAAAGAGCCAAATCATTTAATTTCAGGGCTATCCTGAACTCTACTAAGCACACAGGGACACTGCCCAGATCTGGGAGAGACCAAACACACTTGTATTGGGCCTTTAGGTTGGGAGAAGTACCACTTAAATTGCTGATTGTTAAACCTAAGACAGGTTTAACATCATGCAGGTGTAGAACTTCTATAGTTCTCCTGTTTTTTTGTACATGAATTAAGTGTTTTTTCACAGTTAATCCATACTCTTTAATAATATGAACCATGTGTTGGATAAAATTACATCTTTCAGTTAAATTCAGCCCTCAGGCAGCAGGACCACAGGCAGCACATTCAGCTGCATATTGAATTGGGCGTTTTCCCCTCACTTCACTGTGCTGCTCACCCTGATTTATGCCTCCCTCAGACCAGGAAAGGACTTCCAAAGGCTTTCCTAAGTGAGCAGTACTCTCAGAAGGGTGAGAGTGTCAGCCCTGCCAGGCAGAAACACTCTGAGGCCTTTAAAGTGTGCAAGAGACACCCACAAAATTCTTCAAGTACATCTTTAAACAACAAATCTCTGCTTGTGGGTGGATTACCAGTTGCAAAATCACAGTCAGGATTCTCTAAACCTCCCAAATTTTTTTTCCTCCAGGTATCTTCGCACTGTATGAACTGAAGGGCAGTCAAACCCCCAGGTATCTTTGCACTGTATGAACTGAAGGGCAGTCAAATGTGATGGAGGCAATGCTAAACTTACCTATGTGAGGCTGGTGGGCAGCAGCCAGGGCATACTGCTGCTGCTGTGCTGCTGTCAGCTGCTGCACGGCCAGAGCATTGGGTCTTTGGAACAGCTGCAGGGGCAAAACACAAACATGGGTCTTAAATCAGCCACAAAAAGCATCTTCCTTCTTTTCACAGCGATTCCCTTACACTACATTTCTTCTGACACTTCTCTTTCAAGAGCAATGTTTCAAAAGGAATCGAAAAAAGCCAAACCCTTGGAAAACAAAACAAAACAAAACAAGCTTTTTGGAATCAATTGCCTGTGTTAATGCACCTGAATAAAGCACATTTGTGAGGCACAGCTAACCCACATGCTGGGGTTCCTCTGCTGTTCCCTGTACAATGCCTCAAGGTCTTTTCTCCCAGCTTCTCTGGACACACACAGTGTCCAACTGCAGCCTGGGGGTCATCCTCTGATGCCATGAGCACTCCAAGGTCTTAAACAGCACTAAGTACAGGGACACCAAGACACTCCCAGATGGCCTGAAGTGGGATGGCAGCAGGATGGCACCTCACTACCTGTGAAAGAGACACTGGAGATGTCTTCAGAGCCACCTCAAGAGCCTCAGGGCTCCCAAATCCTGGACAGCCTTCCACCTCCAGCCTCTCCTCAATTCTTCTCTGACCACAGGCCCAAACCAGATTGAGGGACATGTTGGTTAAGTCACTCAAATCACAGATGTGTTTGGCAGCTTACAGCTCCCTCCAGCCTTAGGGAGGAGTGGGCAATGTCAGTGAGAACACTAACAATCAATGCCCAAGGTTATTGAGAATTTGTATCTCAATAAGAACAAAGAGAGGATTCCGTAAGTAATCCTGTAAAGTATTTTTGCTTAGGGTTTGGGATTTTCATCCTTTCTTTCATCCAGGTCTTTATTAAAAACCTCCTTCCTCACCTTCCTGAGCCTCTGCCCAAATGAACCCCCTGAATGCACCCATTAGCAGCTCATTGATCAGCTCTAATTAAAACATTTAAGGATATACCAGCTGAAATCTACTCTGAAAAGACCCAGCAACAATCTCCCTCCCCAGTCACTGCCACAAGTGATCATTTCCAAGGTGTGAATGACTTCCCAAATTGCTGTGATAACTGTTTTCCCTCCCCATTCACTGAGAAAATCCTTGGATGCCTAAATGCTGTACCATTTCCACACCTATCATAGAATCAAAAAATCATCTAGGTTGGAAAAGACCTCCAAGATCATCAAGTCCAACCCTACTGTGGTTACTAGACCATGGCACTAAGTGCCACATCCAGTCTCAGCTTGAAAACCTCCAGGGATGGTGAATCCACCACCTCCCTGGGCAGCACATTCCAATGCCTGAGCACTCTGACTGTAAAAAACCTCTTCCTAATATCCAACCTAACCCTCCCCTGGCAGAGCTTGAGTCTGTGCCCTCTT